GTACTACTACTACTACTACTACTACTACTACTACTACTACTACTACTACTACTACTACTACTACTACGTTTTGGGTTGTGCTTTAGGGCGCCCACAATTGCTTATGGGCATATGAGTGCGTGGGACACATTAAACATTTTCAGTTGATAGAAAATTTTGAATTTTGCCCGGGTGGCGGCCGAAGCCCACTTTTAAGGATTTTGGGAGCATCAAAGGATTTCTAACGTGCGCAGCTTGCACACGGGACCTCCGAGATTTTTCGCTCTTTTCTAAGAAGGCTAGGTGTTAGATCTTACCTACCATAAGATAAGGTATGTAGCGGAAAGATAGCAGTGAAAAGGAACCAAAGGGTAGAAGTAGAAAGACTGGAGAAAGAGTCAGGAGCCCAGAGAAGGGTGCAAAGCAATAAGTCTATGGTCTGGATGTGAAGGAATCATGGTAGAGTAATGAAATTTCGCCAGCCTTCAGACAATGTCTGTGGAAAACACCATGCAAATTTTCAAGAAAATCCGACAATAATAAGGCACTAGTCTGCGTGTTAAATGAAACAATACGCAAATAGGTTTGTTTTTCTTTGCTGAAGCTGTGCCATAGAGCCAGTTGAATATCGCTCAGTTATCAAGTTTTTACACTTGCAAGGAAAATCCCCTTCGGACATTTTTCAGGGAATGCTCCACGTTTATGGTGACAAATGTCGTCGTTATAATACTGTGACATACTGGGTAAGAAAATTCAAATCTGGATTCACGTCGGTGATGGATGAAGATCGTGAAGGGCGTCCATCCTTTTGGATAACTGAAGAGAATGTATCCATAATGGACAAACTGGTTCTATAAGACCGATGTATAACTCTTTAACAGCGCTCAAGTGAAGCGAGATTCAGTGTAGAGTCAAATTGAAACAATTCCCCATTACCATCTTAACATGAATAAGGCGTCTGCGCGGCGGGTACCCACCTTTTGACAAGTGAGCAAAGGAAGCAGAGGGTTGAGTCCTGCAAAATGTTCCTTCGAATTGAGTCCACAGACACAAATTTCTTTAAAAAAAACAAGGTGACTATGGATGAAACCTGGATTTATCGTTTTGAACAAAAAATATCCTCCATGCAATGGAAAACCCCTTCTTCTCCCTCACCAAAGAAGGCAAAGGTAAGGCCGTCGAGTTGAAAGGTCATGCTGTCGTGTTTCTGAGATTCGAAGGTATCATCATGACCGACTACATGGAAAATGGAAAAACCAGTCACAAGAGACTACAACTCGGGTTTACGGATAAAATTGAGGACAGAATTGGTAAGAAAAAGGAATGGAAAACTCCATAATGAGGTCTTCCTACTGCATGACAAGGCCCCTGCGCACAGGGCACAACAAGCACTCCTGACAGCAGAATACTGCGGCTTTGAAATCCTGCCACACCTAGCTTATTCACCAGACCTTGCCTCCTCAGAGTTTTTTGTTTCTTAATCTAAAACAAAATCTCTCAAAGGAAGTCGTTTCTATAGCAACGAGAACGCCATTGAAGCTGTTGAAGACTACCTAGGGGCCTATTCTGGATAATTTTTCGCTCCATGACTTTAGAAGATCAAAGAAAGGTGGCAGAAATGTGTCACTCTGCGTAGTGATTATGTAAAGATTTGCCAAGTAACAAAGCTCTTTCTTTATTCCTTCATATTTAGACCAAAGAATTTTTTAACCCCCCTTTTTTTTAAAAACAATTGCAGCATATTATTTGATGCCATGCCTGTTTCAACTAAAATGCCATTTTCGCGTTTTGGAAGACGATCTTAGATCAGTATGCATGATACTGTTTTTGCAAAGGAGGTAAGCATAGAGGAAATAGGTTTCCCAAGTATTATCCTACATTACTGAATACGTTTGAAGTCGTGGGAAAAAATCAACTGCTCAGCCAACCATATATAAATATCAAACTTCCAAATCAAACCGCGGCCAGAGGCATCACAGTATGGCTTGATTTCAACTGTTTTAGTTTTAGTTTTTAGTAAGAGTTTTACGGCTCTTGCAACA